GAGGAAAGCCTGCCTGAGAGGTACCCAAACTATGGACCCCCTCACACAGGAGGACTGCCCTCTGCTTCCTGTCCTACAAAACTGGACCCCGACCTGACTCTGACCCCAGGGGTCAGGGAGAGAAGGGATGGAAAAGTTAGAGGGACAAAACAATACTTAGAAAGGAAGAAGAGTAAAGCATTTATTTTGCCCCTTTTTCATAACCATCACATATTAGTTTGGAATGGCTTAAGACAAATTCAGTCTGTCCTCAAAAGAATTAAAGGAAGTGGCCATTAAGAAGGGGTGTGGTGGGGTTGGTTCAGTGCTTAGTGCATGTAGATGTTTCTTGTATTTATTCTCATTTTATGCTCATACTATGCCTTTCAGGGAGATATTTTAAATAAATAGTCTCCTATTTATTGAGGAAGAAGCTCAAAGTTCACAGGGTCACTCAGAGCTGGACTAAGAAGACCATATGGCACTTTATTAATGTTCACCATGCCTTCCTTCCTTTCTTTCCCTTTCTTCCTTCCTTCCTTCCTTCCTTCCTTCCTTCCTTCCTTCCTTCCTTCCTCCCTCCCTCCCTCCCTCTCTCTCTCTCTCTCTCTCTCTCTCTCTTTCTCTCTCTCTCTCTTATCTAGCCTGGTTAATTTTTTAAATATCTTCCTTACATGTTCATACAGCAGCTCATTATAAAGGCATGCAGAGACAAGAAGAGAATGTATGAGCCGATAGGGAGTGGGAGGCCCAGACCTAATGTGGGTCTAATAAACTGTCATTCCTTCATTTTCTACCTTGGACGAAGATCTCTAGATCAAATTACTTCATGGGATCAGGAAACATGTAAGTTTGAATGGGAGGGATCTGTATTTTATTGATGTAGCCCAGAAGTAAGTACAGTAGATTGAAGGTACCAAAATCATAGAGAGTGATAAGTGTGCTGAGAACACTTAGTATTCTTATCCAACCCATCACTGGGGATGGGAAAGGCATCCCCATTATGATCCTATTATTAGTAAATACTGTTCAAGCAATCTTCTTATCTAAGTGTTCGGCCAGTGGAGTCATCACCCTGTAATAGTCTAAAAGACCTAGGATCTGGTCCTGGTATGTCAATACTAGCTCATAGGCTCTTCTGTAAAATGGAATAACTCAGCCCTAGTTGTGAGGCTCAAAAGAGATCAAATAGTGCAGTATTTTCAGAAACTGTAAAACACTACCTGTAGCTATCTCTCTTTCTATATAAACAATATGTTAAAGATATTCTAATTTCTTAGTCTATGTACAATTTCTAATGAGCTGTTTTTCCTTCTTTTATTCATACTGAATCTTCAAAATCTGGTCTGTATCCTACATGTACAGTACATCTTAATTGGACCATCCACATCTCAAGTGCTCAACAGGCACATGTGGCTACCGAATTGGATAGCACAGGTCTAGGGGCATTAATTGATGTACTAATAGAAGATGGTTTGGATGATGCCTTTTTCATCCTGAAGGTAATGTATTTATACATGTGCCTCTTGCTTTTAATAATTAATTGGTTTCTCATACCTAACTGTTCTTAATACAGAAGGCATAAAATTGCAGGAAATACAAGAATCTAGAAAATAATATTTGCCCATTTTTTAGCACCTGCTTACTATGGGCAGGGAAGTCTAGAGACCTGAGTCTTATTTCTGCCAACCTGACATCTCACTTTCGTGTGTGCGTGTGTTTGTGTTTTTTTTTTTTTTTAGTCGAAGCAGCCCTTGGTTGACCTCACAGATTGCAAAGACCTTGTCAGTTTACAATCCCTTATTTATTTATTTATTTTTTTACGCCTACTGCACCTGGTCTTCCTAGGTGGTCTCCCATCCAAGTACTAACCAGGCCCAACCCTGCTTAGGTTCCAAGATCAGATGGGATCTGGCTTGTTCAGGGTGGCATGGCTATAGACTGACTCACTTTAATTTGTAACATTTCTTATTTATTTCTCCTGTTTCATAACATGGGGATATTGTTATATGTCTTTCCAGTATAGTTAACATTATCCTTACCTCAGATGAAACATGTGTACATCAGAAACCATTAACCAGTAGGCGGATTTTAGTTAAAAATCTAATGGTATCCTTTCAGTCATACCTAATCTAATAATGCTATTATTATTATGCCAAACTAGTCACCCACTTCCATTCTGAATCTAAACTGGGAGTAGAATCCATTGGACAAGTGCAATTGATTTACGCCCAGATATAACTAGTAACCCAGTGTCATTGTATCCACTCCAGTTGCTACTGTATCTGTCTGTTTTTGCTACTTAGCTGTTCCTAGAGCTATAGACCACTCTTGTTCTTATTTCATAAATAGATGTATATCTTCCCTTTCTTCCTGCGATGTGTTCTATCTTTCCTCACAGACTGCCACCTAACCCAGCATAATTTCAAGTAGTTTGAATTTTTCAACAGAAACCAAATTGCTATCCTCCTCTCTCTGTAATTTCTACCTAAACAAAAAAGAGGTGTAAATCATTTCTGGAGAACAGTTTACCAAATGTAAGCTTCCTGCTCTTACTTCCCTCTCAGTATGATTGAGATAGCCCCTAAATCTTGGTATTCAGGAGGATCTCACAAGTCTCATATCATTTTAATTTTATCCAATCACAATATGTCAGAGAAACAAGAAAAATATGTCTTCAGTGTGTTATTCTTTATAAAACAATGCTTTCAGAATACATGTAGCTGTAACTGGATTGAATAGATCTTGATGAAGAAGTTTTCAAGAACAAAGTTGACATTTTAAGTCTAACATTATGCTTCCATTATAAACATTGAAAAAATTGGCATTATTTTATTTATTTTAATTTTATTTTGAAATAATTTTTAGACTTATTGAAAAGTTGCAAAAAAAAAAAAAAAAAAAAAGCAAGGCATAGAGAGTTCCAGTAACATTTCGTATAACTATAGTACAGTTGTCAAAAACCAATAAATTTACATTGGTTCAATATTATAATACTGTTAGCTAAATGGTAGATTTATTTAGATTTCACTAGCTTTTCACTATCCTTTTTCTGTTCAGGATCTGATCTAGGACCTCACATTGCATTTGATTGTTATACATCCTTAGTTTTCTCCAATCAGTGACAATTCCTCAACTTTTTTTTTTTTCATGACTTTGCCACTTGTTAAGAGTACTTACTTGTCATTATTTTGTAGAATGTCTCTCAATTAGTACTTGATGTTTTCTTGTAATTAGACTGAAGTTATGCATTTTTTGGGAATAAAGAATACCAGAAATAATCCCAGTGGATCATATCAGGGATACACAAAGTCTTTTTATTTTTTATTTTTATTTTTTTAGGTGAGACAATCCTTGGTTGACCTCACAGATTGCAAGGATCTTGTCAGCTTACAATCCCTTATTTAAAAAAAATTTTTTTTTACATCTACAGCACCTGGTCTTCCTAGACGGTCTCCCATCCAAGTACTAACCAGTCCTGACCCTGCTTAGCTTAGGAGATCAGACGGGTTCGGGCTTGTTCAGGGTGGCATGGCCGTAGATATGAAGTCTTATTACTGATATTAAACTTGATTAAGGGCTGTTTGCCAGGTGCCCAAGGAAAGTAATAATTTTTCTCTTTGTAACTAGTAGATTGCTTGGCAAAGAAACTTGGACTATGTAAATATCCTGTTTCTACTTAAATTTAATTTTGGACCATTCGAATATCCTTTTTCTCTCTAAAATTTTATACACTAATTTTAGTATCCGTTGGTAGAGCTTGATATACATTATGTACTACATTATTCTAATGGCAGTTTGAAAAAAAATTTCTCTCATTCCTTCTATGTTTACTAATTAGAATTCTTCTGTAAGAAAGAGCTGTCCCTCCACCATTTATTTATTCAATTATTGGTATCAGTACAGACTCATGATTTATTTTATTATATGGGTTTAATCTCATCATGTAATTTGCTGCTCAAATTATTCGAGCTTTAGCCTCTGGGAGCTCTTCTTTCAGGTCGGCCCCTGTGCCCTTTTGACATACCACCATTCCTGTCTCCTGCATCTAAAAGCATTTCCGTACTTTCTGGTGTCATAAAATGCTCCAGGCTCACTTTGCATTTTCCTTCCATGCCTCAACCATGGACTCAACCATTTCCTCAAGACACTCTGGTTCCTTTTTTTGGAGAATGTTATCAGAAACCAAGATATGGGTACTATCTGTGCTACTGGAGTAAATTTGAGCTTTTTAAGTTTCATGTATGACTTAGCGAATGAATGTCTACAAAGAAGAGTGATGCCTTAAATTTCAAACACCATGCAGGACCCGATGTGGCAGCGGAGGCCAAGCTAACCGTTTTCTATAACGGTTGAAGGTTGTTCACTTCCCTTCCCATAATAAGTAAGGGACTTTTCAGTGTCACATCTGATGTAGCACAGACCACCAGCCCTGGTTGGTCACTCCCCTTACGGTCTGCCAACCAATCGAAATACACTTTCCTTATATAGAAAGAACATGCAAGTCTGTAACTATGAGGACTATAAGATGTGTATAAAAGGGAAACCCTGCTGTGATCAGGGCTCAGCCTTTGGATGCGAATCCTCTGAGCCAGTGCAGGCACCAATAAACGCTACTTCCTGCTATTGCCTCGGTGTCCCATCTCTCTGTCCGAGTATCCTGCAACACCCATGGTAGTTGTCAATTTGGGTTCGGTCTCTTGTGGGAAAGAAATAAAATTGGCAGGCTCTAGCATTTTTAAGAGTTTCCAGTTTTTCTCAAATGATGACCCATAAAAGTTACAAAACAAACAGAATGGACATAGGAATTTTTATTTATTAGAGTCTTTATAAATAAGCCATTTTTTTCTCCAGCATATTAACTTAAATTATATTCCTACTAATGGCTGAATATATGTGAAGAGGAGATATGCACAGGTCATATCTTTGAGAAGTACTGTTAATCTAAAATAAAAAAAGGCAACAAAAATTTATTTGAGATCCAAAAGAATAGCTATTCCAGCAGAAAGACAAATAGTATTCTGAATAGGTGAAGGCAAGGGGTATTTATGAGAAAGGGAAGGGGAATGATTATATGAACAGAAGAAAGGAATTTCTACGGGTGTCGATAAGCTAAGGAAAAATTTTTATAGGTGCAGATCAGCTAATATAGCTATGCTAATTCTAAAGAATGTCTTTAATTATCAGTCCAATAGTTTTGATAACTGCTATCTTGTTGGTTTTGCAAACAGTTATTTGGGATACAGTGCTGCTTTAGGCACAGTTCAAAGGTTGTTTTGTCCAGTTTTAACATTCTAATGGTTTATAGAGTGAAACCTGTAAGACTCCATTTTGAAGTGGCTTTATTTATATTATTTTCACACAGGTATATGTATTTTTTTATGGTTTATAAAATTGATTATTTATAAAGTAACTCAGGAATGAGGAAATGTATTTTTAAAAATTAAAGCATCATGACCTGCATTTGACCAATATAACCATTAGCCACATGTAGCTATTTAAATTTAAGTGAACTGAAATTAAATAACATTACAATATCACTAGAGCATTTCAAGTGCTAAGTAGTTTTCACATGTTTAGTTGACCACAAATCAAAACTCAACTAGGTATGCTGTAAGCAAAAAGGATTTATTTGGGGAAAAGGAAGGATTGCAATTTGGTACATGCAGCCATGGCAAGCCACATACAAGAAGAGAGAGCAAGAGGGAGGAAGTTTTATTTTAGAGGGAAGAAGTTAAGAGGAAGGGCTGTTATATAACCTAAGAGCTCTTGTCACCATAGAGTTCTTCCTGCGGTGCTTTATGACTGATGTAGCGTCGCCATTGCTGTCTTGGTTAAAGTGTCTGTCATAAAATTTGACAGTGTCTAGGGGGGCAGTGCTATTTTATTCCTCCCCCATGCATGTCACTGAGGAATGTGGAATTTTTCAGTCTGACCCTGAATTACGTTGATCTGCGTGCGATTCATAAAATAATCACTTACTTGGGCCTTTTTTACAGACCTTTCGTGTCAAGAACAGATTACCATCTATAAAAGAAGCAATCTGTTGTGTAATTTGTGGGAATAAAGGGAGTTAATTTTTAACTTTGTCTAGTTAAGTATCTCTTGATGGTGCTTCCTAATCTTAGCCTCAGGGTTCGATCTTTGACCTTCTTCCTTAGCTAGAGTATAGGGGTGAGAAAACATTCTCTGCTCCCTTAGGTTTGTAATTGGGGGACCTGTAAATTAAATCAATAAAAGACATATTAGCAAGAGAAAAGACAGATCAGATTTAATCATGTGGGAAGGGAGTTGACAGAAAAATGTGACTCAAAGAGGCTTTAGTCTTTGGGTCTTAAAACCACCTTAATAAGAGAAGGGGAGGAGGAGAAGGGCACTTATGGGAAAATAAGTGGTTTTTAAGAGAGTTAAATGGGCCCTTAGGAAGGTAGAAGGGAAATAGGACAGTTTTGTGACAGGTCTGTTTCAGTATGTGCCAAATCGTCTTTTACTGTGATGGTAAGAGTCAGCCTTCCCAGGTTGCTTCTGGGAGAGATTTATGACAACTAAGTTCCTTTGAGAGGCTCTGCTTTCAGGCAGACAGGGATTTCGGGAAGTCAAACACCTTCAGCTGAATATAACTGCTGTGCCACATCGGTGTACTCAGCAGCCACTCCTCTTCGACCCTGTCCAGGTCAGGCAAGGCCCAACACCATCTCCAGGACCTCTTCTGTGAACTGTGGACGCTCCAGCCGTCTGCATCATCTTTGCGTGAGTGTCTAGGAAGTACATGTTCCAAGCCAAGTTTCTAATCTTGTGTCCTGAAATCAAAGTGAATAAAGCATTTCTAGGAGGGAATATTGTACTCTTGTCAGTCAGTGTTCCCGGTGATGTGCCTCGGAGGAGGACTAAGAATTGGTCATTAATACATGAAAATCTACTTAATTATCCATACTTTACAAGGGTGGATTTTATGGTCTGTGAATCATATTTTAATAAACAAATTGGTCATGAGATATGTCATTTTGTCAGTCACCTAATTTTGTGAAGAGTGTGGGAGTGAGCTGGAGTGAAAACTGATTGGAGGGAATTCAAGAAGAAAAGAGAGGGAGAGAAACTGGAGGGCTATGGACAGGAACTGTAGAATTTTTTTTTTTTAAGAAACAAGGTGTAACTCAAAGGGGTAGTTAGTATTTGGGGCTTATCTGTCATCTTAATCGGAGGAGTATAGGGAGAAGAATTACAGAATTTTTATAACCAGTAGAGGGAAGAATTGTGGTGCCAGGGAGAAAAAGTGAGGGGTGGAGGAAATTCCTGGAGAAGGTGTCCTGGAGTAGGCTGGAGGGAATGAGAAGCTGGGTCAAGCAGAGGGTTCCCTTTAGGGAGCAGCAGAGGGAGTCCTAGGAGTTGGCCTCTGATACGTAGAGGGAGTGGGTGGGCAAGGTTGGAGATGGATGAAAGATGAGAAAGAAAGGAAGGGGAGGTGTGGGAGACGACAGGGTCTTTTATTTATGATGCCAAGGTGGGAGCATGTGTGGCTGAGATAGTGGGGAAGGCGAGATCATTAGAGGAGAGAAGGCCAAGTGGCTAGCTGGGAGCGGGCAAGGACAAAGATCTACATGGGGTTTGAAATCCCCTGCAGCTACCAAGATTCTAAACTTCAGAATTGTGTATGACAGTGTAAATCCATCGACACCTGTTGGAAAACAGTTCACACTTGGATGCTCAATTGAACTTCGGTATGTAGCATGTCCTTAAAATTGAAGAGCAATACATTATTGCATAATGAAGACCCCAAGAGAGTGGGGTGGTTTGTCATTCATAAGAGTCTTGTTTAAGGTTCTCAATTTTTAACCAAAGATATCCCTTCCTGGATGTCTCACAGAAGCCTGAAACTTACCAAGTTGGTGCTGAGCCCTTGTTGATCTTTAGACATCCTCCTCTGTCATTAACTAGCGTCCCCGTCCCCCTTGTCCAAGCATGTCTCACCTGGTTTTCTGTAATAGCCTTCTAACTGGCTTTTGCTTCCACACTTGCCACACAGTAGCCAGAGTGGTCCGTTAAAAACCTAATTAGTATCATGGGACTTTCCTGCTTAAAAAACCTCAGTGGCTTCTCGGCGACTATATAAACTTCTGTGATGGGGTCTATTCTTCTCTGTCTGATCAACTTTGTCCTCAGTACCAGGACAAGGTACTGTCCTGTCCTGGAAAAGATACTGTCCTGCAAGGTTCTTGGGGCCTAGAGTGCCAGACTAAGATTGCTCCCTCGGCCTGAGGACTTCTACTTTGGATCTGAATATAGTGTCAATGCTGGATGCTTCAGGGTGGATCTGTCAAATCAGAGGCAACTCGTTAATTGATAGAGAACATTTTAAATGCAAGGTTTAATTTATGGAAGTTGAAATTCAGATTTTGAGTTTTTTCCTAACAAGCTTTATAAGTTTATAGGTATCACCTGGCAGTGATTTGAGAACTCCAACTTCTTCTCAGGATTATAATCTCTTAGCCTTAGCCTCAGTAAATAGTTGAAGGACACGTGTGCTTATATAGCATGTCCTCTTGGCTGAGTGCAGCTCTGCATTTCCTAGCATTATTTCTAGGAAAACGATGTAAGAGAAAGGCCCGGGCTTCTACCAGCCTGTGTGAAAGTTCCACTGTGGGCAGATGTCTGGCTGAGGATTTTAGAATCAACCTGTGTACTTTTCTTACATGCAATTTTCACTGACTTACACACTCCATTTACAATAGACTATCAGATTGAGTATGGTAAAAAGTAAAATAAAGGAAAATGGCATTTTAAATGCAGGTTATCATTCTTATAATAGGGATAGCAGCATCTATGGAAGAAAATTGTATAAACTTTGCAAAAAAGTAAAAATGTAGCCTATCTAGTTAGAAAGCAACAAGGTGACATAGGTAGACCACCAGAAAAGGGACAGCTAGAAAGGGCAAAAGAATTTCATTCATTCCAAGTCCCTTGATCCTGTTTGAAAGGACTTTTCCAGCTAGCTGAGAGATGTAATCAGGCAGGTAACAGACTAGGCCAGTTCAGGTGAGTTGTGAAGCGTTTGGACATCTCTTTTATCTCTAAGGATTTGAAGTCCTTATCTAGGACACTGAGGGTGATAAAAACCCATTTAGGACTAGTAGGTGCTCTGGAAGCTAGGAAGCAGCAGTAGTTGGGAAGCTGATTTTTTTAATAGAGAAATTTAGATGCGATTTAGGTTTTTTTATGTAAAAAGGAAGAGAGCAACACACATGCCCAGAAAGCTTCCACCATAGGGAGAGGTTAATGTTTATTTGTAGTGAATCATATAAATCCAGTTATACTGTATAGAGATTGGTAATTATTACTATCTATTTTTTTTGTTTCAATTTAGAGTAATGTTCTGTTCCATATTGATGTCAGAAATTTAAAAAGTCTGTGTTTCGGTATACTGTGCTTCAGATGGGTGGTGAGCCTTGGTTACCCCATCTCTCAGGTGATTCCTGACTTGTGAATCACTAAGGCCCTGCTGTGTGTCTGAGGGAGACTGTCAGGATCTTAGTGAGGAACCAAGTAGCTAGGTGGATTACAAACTTAATTCTACCACAGCGAAGGCAAAGTCTTTGTATGCACAGGCTTCTAAAATTGTGATTGTATTTACTATCAGTTTTAGGCCCGAGTCATGTATGGGCATGGATGATTTTCTTTGGGTACTTGAGTTCTAGTTGGTGCTTTTCATTAGGAGGAAATCTCCTAATTTAAAATCTGCTAAATTTCCATCTTGAGCCAATGACTTATTTAAATTTATGTAGCCTGTTACCTGATTCTCTTAATGAGTCTTGGGAAGAGGGTTAGCACGTGTCCTCAGTGGCTGAATCACATCAAATGAACATGGCAGCAGGAGAAGCGAATGTTGTTTTTGGAACTGGTATATTTTGACTTCTGAAGACCTCAGGAGATGGCTTTGAAAATTTGTCAAGTCGAGATTTGGGGCCCTTGATCTTTGGAAACATGGCAAAGTGAGAAACGTCCCAAGATTTCTCCTCTTGAAACAACAATAAGCTGAACATCTGAAACTCAACAAAAAACACCCAAACTGCACACCAGCATGTCTGAGCGTGGGATCTGTGCATAAGAGCTACCACAAGTCACACCCCAGGTGTCGGGCAGTGGACTGGGAGAAATAAAGAAGCTGCCTCTAGGAGCTGCCGAAGCTCCCTACAGGAGGAGGGGGAGAGGAGAAGGAACGGCGAGTTCCCGCGGTGTGCTCCCGGAACAGCCCTGCCTAGGAAAGCTGCAGGGCCCAGTCATCAGAGCAGAAAGCAGAGAAGAGGAATGGGACTGCAGAGGAATAACAGTTGATTTTGCTGGCCGTGGTTGCAAAACTGAGGCTGAGCCGCAGCCCCCAACTCCCAACCTAGAGGGCCCTCTCCCCTCATACCCTCCAACACCGATC